CGTGAGCGGGGGAGGCCGCCGCCGCCGCGGGGCAGGGCCGACCGCTGCGCTGCTCTCTCGCCGCCGCCGCTGCCATGGCCGAGGACCCCAGCGCGCTGCCCTGGTCCATCGACAGGGATGACTACGAGCTGCAGGAGGTCATCGGTGCGTGGGAGTGGGGGGGTGTGTGAGGTGGCAGGTCCCCGGCCCCTTTGGGCTGCTGCCTCCAAATTGTGCCCCCATTTTTAGGGGTGACCCCCCCGGGGCACGAGCTGCTGCCCCCTTCTCCGCGCGCGCGTCCCCTCGTGTTCGCGGAGTGGGCGTGGGGCAGGTGGGTCTCCGGGGCGGACGCGCCGTCGGCGTCTTTCTTTGGGGACGCGGCGTTGAGAGCGAGGCGATGTTGGGTGGTGTTTCGGAGGAGGGATAAAGGAGATAAATCCTGGGTGTCCCTGGTGTCGCGTAGACCCGTGGGTCCCGGAGAAAGTGGCGCCCATGGGCCGAATTGCCAGGTCCGGGGAAGCCTGTGGGCTAAAACCGGGGCTGGTCCCGGGCGATGGGCTTTGCAGAGCGTCTTGGCTCCTGGGGACGTCTGTGAAGTTGCTCGTGGCTCTGCCCCGGCGCATGGTGATCCGTGTCCGCGTTGCTGCGAGGGCAGGTGGAGGGGAAATGAAAATTTTACCGTCTCGTCAAGGGAGACTTATCCTGTGCAGCCGCTTCCAAGGGAAATCGCTGTTTTCTCTAGTCCTCTAGCGGAGCAATTTTGCGAGGAGGACGTGGCTACGTGGGGGCCCTATTGTAACCTACTGAGCCTGGGGAATAAACAGGAAAAGGATCTTCCATTCCTGTCTCTTTTTTTCCCCCTTTCCTCCCCAAAACTGCAGTCCAGGGGCCAAGTTCCTGGTTGAAAGATCTCGCTGGGATTCAGTAATGCACGGCAAAATGTGCCTGTTTAGAAACACGTGCGTGATTCTCCCTGTAGCACTTTCGCTCATTTTAAGCATTAAAGGGTCTGGCAGCCCCTAGGATGAGTTGCGCAGCTCATCTGATTTGTGGGACAAAATGTCACCGGGTTGCCTCTGCAGCTGGATTTGCTCTCCCTCCTGTTCTTGTGTATCCTGTCCTCCTCTTCAGGGGTCCGCTGGGTCCTTGCGACTCCATCTGGGAGCTGAAAGCTGGCCCGTATCTGTCTATGTGCAGGAAGTGGTAGGGGAGCGGAGGGGGAATCCAGCCTGGGATTGCTAAACTTTGCAGAAATGCTCTGACACTATCTTTTGACTTCACCGGTGATGGCAAACGCTGTTCTCCAAGTTTTCAGCCATAGGTTGCATGCAAGCAAGCTCTGCTATTTTTGGTACCTGATTGAAGGAAAATCCATTTCTGACTCCCTGCTCCCTTGATTTCCTCAAGCTGATTCTTTTGCCTGGAAATATCCATGCAGGAGTCATGTCTTGCTCCATCAGGCAGCGTGCCATCTCGCTCTAGCAGTTATGAGAACACAAAAAGAAGTGGGAAAGAAGTTCCCTTATGCTTTATTCCTTCCAGCCATAACTAAACACCTATTACTCAGCACTGACTGTGACTTAAGCCATTATCAAGGTATAGATTAATGCTTATATTTATTACGAGGGGTTAGCATTAGTGACTAACAGCTGAGTAGTTTCTGAGACATGGGTTCCTGCATTCACTATAATGCTGCAAAACATTTTTGTTCGGGATCAAAACTTGACTTTTCTTTTAAAGGGGGTGGGTTTGGGAAGTCTGTCCATGCTGAAGTGGGAACGTGTTTGTGGAATCTGTCCATTGGGCAGAAAGGTCTTGCGGTAGAAATGTGACTTCATTTAAAAAAAGTAGTCTGCCCCCCCTCCCCCCTTCCCATTGCTGTGGTGATAACCTTCCAAATGTGAGTTGCATGTAAAATCAATCCACTGTGCTGCATTTATTCATGAAGTCTGCAGGAAGATGGCTCCCTAGCTGCTGCTCAGTCTGCAACAGAGTAAAAAGTGACTCGAGTTGTGCCTGTTCTCAGAGCTGCTTTAGGGAATGCTTTCAACAGCTGTGGAGTTAGATTTTTAGAATCAGGTTTAGATGAGCTTTATGGATTCTTTTTGAGGGTGACGGGGAGAGCTAAATTGATTATTTTTTTTTCCCCTATAACCTGTACCCTTTATATAATAATTGTAGACCTGTAATTGCAGGCAGTTGCACATGCCTAAATATTTTAAACCAGTTAATTTATCCTATGACATAAATTATTGATGACTTAAAATTCTAAAACTTCAATTTAGCTTTCAGTCCTCATGCTGCAGGCTTGCCTTTAAACACTTCTTTTCTTTGGGTGATACCTCTTTCTCTTCCCTAGTA